TCCCTTTGGAGGGCGGAGAGGTGCTGAAGAACACACTGAGCCCACTGGAATGCCATAGGCCCCTGGACCCAACCTCAGCTGAGATTGCCTGGCAATCTTTACAGGTGTACCTCAAAAGTCTCTCATTCCTAATAGCAATGATTTCCAAAGTCTTTCAGACTTAAATCCCTTGCTTTCCTCCTCTCCACCTCACTCTCAGCAAATTGTCTTGTTGCCTTTTCGATACAAAAAATAAGTATCAGACAGGAAATCTCTCAGATTGCCACCACACCCTACCCTTTTCCCTAGATTTGCACCTATCTTTTTTCTCTATTTCCTTCTGACATAGCAAAGCTAAGTCCTCACCCAGGTTTCTGGATTGGTACTACTCCCTACTGGGAAATTCTTACTCAAGTCCTTTGCTTTCTGCTAACTCTTCCTTTTCCACTGGATCTTTCTCTTGCCATTTAAACATATCCAAGCCTGTGGATCATTTTGAAAACAAAACAAAAAAACAAACCTGTTGATGTTTCTTGAAGGACTTTCTTACATCAGTCTCTACTTGTTCATCTCCCAATCATTGTAACCCCCTGCAGTCTGGTTTAACACCCACCACTCCTTAAACACACCCATCCTGTTCTTCTCCTTGGAGGGCAGAGAGAAGTGCTGGAATCTCTCACCAAACCTGTTCTAGTTGCCAAACTCTATGGATGTTTTCAGACCTTTTCTCACTCACTAGGGTACTGTTGAACTTGTTCCCAAAATTCCTCTTTATTTCTAAAACTTTTCACTCTGTGTTTTCTCAACTGCCCACCACTCCTCCGATACAATCTCTGCACCAACAATATCATAGGAGCAACTGCAGTTCTCTTTTTGTGTTTCCTCATTCTGAAATATCTACTTTTTTACTTTTTAGAATGATTTTCAGGCCTTTCTCTTTCTAGTTAATGCCTACCAATCTTTCAAGGGCCAACTCCAATACTCGATTCTTCCATGAAGGGTCCAAACTGCAAGAAGGTGAAAGAACCCTTTTTGGATACCCATAGCATCCTGTTCAACCTCTACTTAGCCCTCAATTGCACTATTTTCAACAGCCAGGTTAATTGTCTTGCTTTGATGATGCAACCGTAAACTACTGGACAGTATGCATGCACAAAGCTTGGCATAGAGTAGATGCTCAATAAAAACTGGTTGAATAGAATTAAATCACAATACATAAAGGAAATCTCACAGTGAAGAGGACCATTAATCATAGGCTTCTAAGAGAATTGTACTTTATTTTTGGCATGGCAAATGAACCGCCCCCTCTGTGGCTATCCCTCCTTCTTCTACTTGGCTACTCTGGAGAATACAGAGTCTTCATTGTTTACAAATGCTAAAGGAAGGTACCTTTGGTTCCTTCTCTCATGATGACTTATGAAAGGATGGGCATTAAAAGTGTGGAGAAGAGCAGATGGCTATTGAAGACAAAAAGACGTTGAAAGGCAGGCCAGGGAGGATCACCATATTGAAGATCAGACAAAACACACTGATTTTGAAGAAGACAGCTTTATCATATATTCCTAATGACTGTAAGTTCATTAAGATCAGAGGCCCTGTTTTGTGTTTCCTGTGATTCCTTGCAGTGCTAGGCATCTGCAAGGTATTAGCTTGCTTTTCCACAACAGTGCTCTGTGTGGGAACATGCGCATCAAATAGACTAGATTAGCTGCTCCCATTGTGCCCTGTGCAGCCAACACTTTCCCATGTGGCATCACGAGAACTGCATTCTGTACCCATACTGTCTTCCCAGTACTGTGAGTGCAGGCCTGTGTTTCTCTGATTCACTGCTGTGTTCCAGCTTGTAACAAAGTACCTGGTAAAGATCAGTTGCCAGTGAGTTGATTTTGACTCACGGTGAACCTGTCTGTTTCAGAGTAGAATTTAGCACTCCATAGGGTTTTCAAAGACTGATCTTTCAGGAGTAGATTGTCAGATTTTTCTTCTGAGGTACTCTGGGTATAATAGAACTGAAAACCTTTTAGTTATTATTGTTGTTAAATCCATCGAGTTGGTTCTAACCCATGATGATCCTGTGTAGGATTTCCTTGGAGCGGCTGGTAAGCTTGAACGGCTGACCTTGCAGTTCAAACTGACTTTGCAGTCCAGAGCATGGAGCCACAGCACCATGCCAGGATTCCTAGGTTAGTAGTCAAGTATTTAACCATTTGTGCCATCCATGGACCCTGCCTGGCATGCACTTAGCGGTTGCAAAATGACTTGATGTAGTATAAAACATAGATGTTTTTGTTAGTTGACCATGAGTTGACTTAAACACAATGGGACAAATAATGACTTTTGGTCCTGAATCATGTTCACAATTGACTGCCTGTTTGAGTCTGTCACGCAGCTCCTGTGTTAGTCCATTTCCTTGTTGACCCTCTACTTCACCAAATATGGTATCCTTCTCTTGTGATTGACCCCTCCTGATGATCTATCTCAAGCATGTGAGTCGGATGATGTTCTATTGTGAACCATAAAGTTTTCAGGAGTAGATTCCTAGGTCTTTCTTCTTGGTGTGTCATAGTTGGAATCTCTATTGAAGCCTTTCCCCATGGGTTACCCTGCTGCTATTTGAAATATCAATGGTATAGCTTCCAGCATCAGAGTAGCACACAAGACACCAACGAACTCATAATGCAACAAACTGATAGATGATGGTAGAAATAAGCATGCCTGCATATTTGTCTTCTAAGTATGTGTATGTTTCCTGGTGGCACTGTAGGATAAGCACCAGACTGCTAACTGCAAGGTCATTGGTTCAAACCTACCAGTCACTCCTCAGAAACCCTATACAGGGTCGCTATGAATTGGAAACAATTTGATGGCACTTAATACAGCACTTAAAACTTCAAGGTCAGCAGCTCTAAACTACCAGCTGTTCTGTGGGAGAAAGATGAGGCTTTCTGCTCCTGTAAAGATTTGCAGCCTCGGAAACCCTGTGCAGGGTGACTATGAGTCAGAACCGACTCTACGGTATTTAACAACAACAACAATGTACATATGCAGTTGGTTTGTTGGTTAATGGGAGGAATGAGATCTCAGATGACTGGACTAGTTGGTGACTTCGCTTAGGGAAAACAGAAATCTCTGTGACTTGGACTTATTTTCTGGATATTTTGACCAATTAGTGGATATCTCAAAACAACTCTAGAATATAATGTTGTTACTATTGTTGGGTGCTGCCGCGTTGATTTTGACTCATAAGAATCCCGTGTTACAGAGTAGAACTCCTCCACAGAGTTTCCTTGCCTGTAACTTTTTTTTTTTTTTACTTGTTATTATGAATTGAGTGTCCTGTAATATTCAGAGAGCACCAGGTCTTTTTCCTCTGGAGCTACTGGATAGGTTCAAAACAATATCAACCTTCCAATTAGCAGCCAAGTGCTTAACTTTTTGCACCACCTAAGCTCCTTCTAGAATATATATTGTTGTTGTTATTGTCATCAAGTCAACTCCGACTTATATGGTTTCCGAGGAGTAGCTGGTGGGTTTGAACTGCTGACCATGTGGTTCGCAGTCCAGTGCTGATCCTACAGAGCCACACCATTATACTAAAGCAGCCATTACACCAAACTCCTAAGGAGTATAGATTTAGAATGGACCTTACATTTAGATGTATCAGATACTGCTTAAAATCAGCCCCTGGAGGCCATGTCTCTCTAAAGACTCCCATTGTGATGGTACCACCTAAGCTATGAAAGGAAGATCTCTCTGCATTTCAAGAAAAGCTTGCAGCAGTATGAAGAGGCCTGGGGACTCTTGGGCCCAGAGACAATGGTGTGGCCACAGAGGACTCGAGAGGAGAGTGGAGCTACCGGCTGACGGGAAGAGAGAACATATGCACAGGAGCACCCACACTTGCAGATGATACCCACGTGACCTGGACCAGATGACTGGATGATCGGAGCTCAACCAGAAGAGGAAAGAAGGGTGGGGGGGGGAAGAGTGAGCTGATACAGTCTGATGAATTTGACCTATACCTATGGAGCAGCGACTCAAAAGAGGGAACAAATCCTCACAGTAAGAAACATTCACACACCCCCACACGCACAGAGTGGACGGAGAAGGACAGCTTGGACATTGGATACTCAAATGGGGAGGGGGGGACTACAAAGGCAAGAAGTGACTGGCTTACAAGCTTTCAAGAGGGAACCTGGTGCTAGGGAGCATGGCAGAAGGCAGAATCTCCAATAGGTACTATTCAATCTGTCTGGGCGGAGCTGATGAAAGGAGATACAGATGGGTAACTCGTGATACTGTAGTGAATAATGCTTATCAGGACGGATTATGAGGGTTGGAAATGCAAAGGTAGAAGTTTTGTAACAAGGAAGGGAGTGATTAATTCTCCAGGATAGGAGCGGAGGCCTCTGGGACCATCAACGGAGAAGAGCCGAGAGCGGGACCCTGCCCAGAGAAACAGAGATGCCTGAGATAGAGACAGAGATGATGACATGGATGGAGTGATGAAGTGACTGGGGACTTTGGACCCAGAGAGGGAAAGGGACTGTAGGCTGAAAACTGGGGGGAGGAGGGGGAAGTGTAGGGGATGGGTTTCTGGGATATACTCCTTGGGTGGTTGAGGATGCATGGAGGGGATTGGAACCATGGCAATGAGATGATATACGATGGAATGAATGTAAAACTAAAGTTCTCCCATGTAAACTATCATATAATTCACAATAAAACATTTAAAGAAAAGAAAAAAGAAAAGCTTGCAAACACTTCCCATTGCTTCTTTGATTTGGATTTTTCTGTCTTGCTTGGAGTTTACTAAAAATTCCTTTACATTTCCCACAAACGTTTATTTCCCTAAACCTAGCATCTAAGTTTCTATCTCCAGAAGTTCTGGGAAGGGCAGAATTTTTTGAGCTCAACTCTTCCGGCTATCCATCACTGTGGTCATGTCTCTTCATTTAATTGTCTATTGCTCCATGGCTTGTACCTAAAACAACCACCTTTGCCAATCCCTCCATACACAGGTGGACTTAAGACGCCAGCTGATTTCCCAGACTATGAGGGAAGTACAGAAAGTCGTCCACTGTTTGACCACAGATATCAGCTGCCATGACATTAGGTTTCAAGCTGTCCCTTACTCTGACACCTACAATGGGAACATTAAGGTAAGCAACTGTTACCTGTCTTCTCAAAGCCCACTAAGAGAGCCTTTACCTGTTCTACCTTAGACATGCTTCTGCCTGTTTGTATCTGGCACTGCATGACAGGCTATAGTCAAACACTAGGTAGGCCCAGGTTGTGGGAGAGGGGAGAAGAAATGGAGGGTCTTGGGAGAAAGGAGCTGAGCATGATAATCTGTAGGTGGGAGGTGAGGGAAGAAGAAAGTGAAAGAGGCAGCCTTTAGAAACTGCAGGGGCCAGTCTCTAATGCTTCTCCTGCTGAGGAGCCCAGAAGGCTATCAGCTACCAACACAAGCGCAGGACAACCAGCATTCCTGCAACACTCCCTGTGGGCAGAGCCCTGCTCACGTAAGTGCTCACGTAAGCGATCTCACTTAAACCTGAAAAGCACCTCAGGGAAGACATGTGATGGTCATTTCCAATTCAAAGATGAGAATCTTGACAATCATTTTGAGTTCCCTTGCCTCAGTTTTTCTTAGTATTCCTAAGAACCCTTTAAGTGTGTATACATACACATATATTTACTCATACCTTGGAGTCCTGCTGAGATGCTGTAAGATAAGCACTGTTCAAACCCACCAGCTGTTCCTCAGGTTACTACGAGTCAGAAACGACTCAGTGGCACTAAACAAAAACAACAACAGCAATATTCATACCTTATTTCTCACATCACAGTATCTGTCCCTTGATTGTGGGGTTACATTTATTGTGTTAACACTCAGCATGTTCTGGAGCACAGATCAGATACTCATGTTGGATGAATGAATGAGCAAAAGAATTGCTACTTAAACAAGACTGTTGCTGCTTCAGAACATTTTGAGGGTATTCAGACACAGGTTGGTAGACACAGATACCACCCACAAGGTTATATGGCTTATGGGCAGAGTCTGTTCTTTGAAATTTTACTGCAGGAATACAATTGTGAAATTAGATTGGACCCTGGAATGTGAGAACATCACCTGTCCAACACAGGCCAACTTAAATTGAACAAATATAGGCCAGTCACTAGAAACACAATATTAACATCACTTTTCCTATTACCTCAGGAAATATCCTTCTGTGGTATCATGTCAGTCAGTCATAGTTTAAAATGCATCTTGCATTCATATACATAATTCCCTACATATTAAGTTTTTAAAACAATCATACTGTAACATATTAAAGTTGCTTTTATTTCACCTTGGATAAAATTCAACACGTATTTAATAAATACCATTTATAGGATTAACAACATGTTAGTAGACAGATTTTTAATTCCATAATTCAGACTCCTCCTGGCCTTTTTAAATCCAGCCACCTTTCTACAGCTACCAGAAGGCAGGTAGGCCCATCACCTAAAACATATGATCATTGTTATTGAAGAGTGAAGCAGAGTCCATTGGAGCTGGTTTTAGTCAATGACTGGGCCCTGGGCAAAGGTTAACCAGATTCCGTTGCCAGAATTTTCCTTGAGCATCAGGTGACTTCTCCATTAAACAGATGACTAGTAGGCTTACATCAATCAGTAGGTTGACCAGGATGCAGTGTAGAGTGGACTGTTACATGCTATGGTCAAATTCAAGTTCTCTCAGTGGTACTTAATACTATTGACTAACTTGTTCTACCTCTTGGTCTGTCTAAGTTCATTCTGACCACTGATTAACTGGTTCCTATAGAAAGGATCCCTAGTGATGCGGTAGGATAAGCACTGGACTGTTAACCACAAGGCCAGCAGTTCAACCCCACTAGCCACACCTTGGGAGAAAGGTGAGGCTATCTGCTCTCATAAAGACTTTGTTGTTTTTGTTGTTGTTAAGTGCCATGGAGATGGTTCTGACTCATAGTGACCCTGTACAGGGTTTCCAAGGCTGTAAATCTTTATGGGAGCAGGAAGCTGATAGTTTCGAACTGCTGACCATGAGATTAGCAGCCTGATTCGTAACCACTATGCTACCAGAGCTCCAGAAACCCTACGCAGGGTCACTATGAGTCAGAAAAGACTGGATGGCAATGAGTTGTTGTTTCTTTATTTAATTTATAAAAAGAAGGAGATGGATTCTGATTGATTCTTTTTTACTATTAAACTAGAATAATCTTAATCATAGCTCCATGGGCTCAACAAACAAGATTTTCTTTCACCTTGAGTTCATAGGGATAGTAATTAACATTCCATGGGACTCTCAGTGCAGTTATAAAGAAATGGAGATATTTTACAGAACTCTTTCTCTTCCTCTCTTATTCCATCCCACCCTTCATTCCTTTATCCCTTTCACTTGTTCCAACTTATTCATTTTTGACTGATAAACAACCAAAAATAAAGAAGAGTTGTTGTTGTTGTTAAGTGCCGTTGAGTAGGTTCTGACCCATAGCAACCCTGTATAGAGTTTCTGAGGAGCAGCTGATGAGCTTGAACTGCCGACCTTGCAGTTCAAACTGACTTTGTAGTCCAGTGCATTAACCTACAGCGCCACACCAGGACTCCATTAAGAAGGATTACTAAGTCTAAGTTTTAAACTATTGGGCAGTGTGGCACTCACACCAATCCTTTTTGCTCAACATAAAGTAAAATGAGGAAATCCAAACTGGAAAACAATTTGTTAATTTCCTTAGGTAACAAAGAGAATTTTTCAACCAATATGAAAAAAATTTGAATGGACCAATAGAAATCATGACAAAAATATGAATCACAGGAAATTGAACTCACATCAATCAATCCAAAACTTGAGCTCACATTCTGACTTTACCACTCTTTGGCAAGATCTCCAAGTTTCTCTGAGCCTTAAATTTCTCATCTGAAAAATGGGAACAAAGCTCATCTCACGCCATAATTGTGAAGCTCAGATGGGCCAAAATACCCACCATCATCAACTGATTCCAACTCGTAGCCAACCTGCACAGGACTCCTGAGACTGTCAATCTTTAGAGGAGCAGACAGCTTCGTCTTTCTCCTGTAGAACAACTGGTGGGTTTGAACCACTGACTTTGTGGCTAGCAGTTCAGTGCTAATCCTACAGCGCTACCAGGGCTCCTTAAATGGGCCAATCCCTGAAAATTACAACACAAGGCGCAGTGTGTACAGGATCTAGTGAATACTCATTCCTTCTCCTTTTTCTTCTCCCAAACTTTGGTCCCATATAGAGTTCCAAGTCTAGCTCACTCTTTTGCTTGTGGATTCATGAAACCCAAGGCTTAGCAATTAATTTACCTTCTCAAAGCATTGCAAAGGGTTACTGACAGGTCAAAGGTGGAGTCCTTGCCCCACTCAAATTGCTTAGAGCTGACTTGACAGGTTGATTCCTGGAAGGTCTCCGTTGCCGCTCAAGACTATGTGCTCATGATCTTTCTCTCTCCTTTCCTGACCCCAGGTTTTGACCCCCAGACACTTCCTCGTCACAGTCCCGATGAAAGGCCTGGCTGGGTACAGGGAGGTCAAGGAGGGCCACTGGCGGTATTACACCCTGCAGGGCGACAGGCTTTCCACCCATGTGCGGTGCCCAGAGGACCTGCAGCAGTGGCTGGAGGTGGAGCAGTTTATGAAGAGCCTATGGCAGTGGCACGAGGCAGATGTGACCATCCAAGGTGACATTGTGCCCGCCAAGGTCCTCCAGGTGTTCCAGAAGCTGGTGGAAAATGCTGTTACAACCTGTCACCTCTCAGGTAAGCTGATCCAGATAAGTGCAAAGGAAACTTGTGGCATTTCTCTTTTGTTCTAAAACTCTTCTGTAGGCTAGGCCTTGTCCTGTTACTTGAAGCCCATGGTCTAGACAGTAATCTATGTGCCACTTACATTTCTATGAGCTCCATAATTTGAATTAGCTTTTTTTTTTTTTTTTAACTACTGTTACATCCATAAGAATGGAATTGATACCCACAACATATTCTCATGACGTTAGCTAGTTTACTGGCAATGGCATAGATACGATGAACTGTGAGGTATGTGCCCTTTCTGGAAGGCTAGCTTAAAAACTTGAATGTACTATATTTTTAAAGTAAATTACCCACAAACCTTTGTTACCAGCACATGTTTAATGTCACACCTCTGACTGACTGTAATTTCCCTGTGTGTTCAGTTACATACAACATTCAAAAACCATTGTCTTGTACCAAAACACAAAATAAAAAATCATATAGAACCAAATCTGACAACCTCAAAATTTTAACCTACTGATTACTGTGGCACACACACATGCAGACACACACATACTTTTTGCTCAGTCGGAAGGGTGAGTTACAAAATTGCTAATTTCCTTCATTATCAAAGAAAATTTATCAACCAATAAAAAAAAGATAAATGGATCAATACAAATCATGACCAAAATGTGAATCTCAAAAAAAAAAAAAGAATATAAATAGCTAGTAAAATTTTTAAAAATATGTTTCATCTAAAGTATATTTCAAATGCACATTTAAACATCTAAAAAGTTGGTGGAGATGACAAAATGTAAGCATGTTCAGTGTAAGGGCAGACGTGAGAAGTTAGGCATTTCCAGAAATGCCTAAATGTTCTTGGAAGTGTAAACTGGTGCCTCCAAATTTGTTGATTTTTATTTTTATAATGTGCTTCCTTGGCAATCCGGTAATTCCAATCCAGAAATACATCCTGACAAATACACAAAGAACTACACATGAAGCTGGCCACTGCCTTAGGTCTTATAATAGTAAATGGTGATGGTGGTGGTGTGCTGTGGAGTTGGTTCCACTTGGCAGAAGTAGCATCATTTACATGGCCGACTTGCCTTCCTTAGCCATGTAGATTATCTCCAGCTATAAGGAGCCCTGGTAGTTTAATGGGTTACAAACTGGGCTGCTAACTGCAAGGTCAGCCATTTGAATCTACCAGCCATTCCGCAGGAGAAAGACGAGGCTTTCTGCTCCCATAAAGATTTATAGCCTCGGAAGGAGTGGCTGGTAGATCCAAAGTGGACTACTAAGAAGCCTTTAAAAAGCACGAGGTACATACACACATGTGTGTGCATGTGGTACCACATGCACACAAAAAATGTCCATACTTGACAATTAAGTGAAAAACCAAAGGGATGAACTGCCCGTGATTCCATTTGTGTGGAGAGAAAGGATGAAGCTATACATTGACTTTTCTAGACAGAATAATTCTGGGATATTCCATAATGGTAGTGTTGTTGTTAAGTGCTGTTGACTCAGTAGCAACGCATAGCAACCCGGCATGGGGTTTCCAAGAAGCTGCTGGTGGGTTTGAACCACTGACTCTATGGCCAGCTTCCAGTGCTTATCCTATAGTACTACACCAGGGTGTATATCTAATGGGTTTTTATTATTATAAAATTCTTCCATGGACTGTTTAATATGTCCTTGATATCAGTCCTTCAGAGAAAGAATGACTTTTCTACCTGCATTATAGGTGTGAAAACTGAGATTTAAAGTAACTTGCCAGGAACCACACACCTAGTAAGCAGAGAGAATGGCAGAACCAGTGTGGGCCAGGAAGGCTCACCTCTTCATTTCGAGACCATATTCATAGTGAAAGTGGAAATAGAGTCAAACTGGGCCAGGCTGGGGAGGTGCTCTTATAATAATGTGGAGTATCAGTTGTTATCATTGTTCCTGCCTAGCCAGCTCTGAAGAGCGGCAGACAATAGCCCTTTATGACATCCTGGCCAAAGAGAGAAATGTTTTCCTTTTGAACTTCTGACCACAACTAATAAGCTCCTATTTTCTCTCTAAGGAAGGAAGAGAAAAATAATGTGAGTAAATCCCAACGTAAAACAGTTCATCTTTAGCTACAATGGAAGAAAACAAACAAAAACCCCCTGTGTATCTTTTGAAAGAACCCAAACCCACATATTGCCTTCCAGTTGATTCTCATTCATAGCAGTCTTATAGAACAGAAAATAATTGCCCCTCGAGTTTCCAAGGACGTAACTCTTTATGGAAGCAGACTACCGCATCATTCTCCTAAGGAGCAGCTGGTGGGCTTGAACTGCCGGCCTTCTAAGTTAGTTGCTGAGTACATTTGCCACTGTGCCACTGGGGCTTCCTATTCGAAGAACACCAACCCAAAAGCCCATTGTCATTGAGCCTATTTTGACTTATAGTGACCCCATAGGACAGAATAGAGCTGTCTATAGAGTTTCTATGGCTAAAATCTTTACGGAAGTACACTGCCATATCTTTTTCCCAGGGAGTGGCCAGAGGGTTCAAACTGCCTACTTTCCAGTTAGGAACAGAGTGCTTTAATCACTATGCCACCAGAGTTCCTGTATCTTTTGAAAGAAGGGACACAACTTGTAAAAGAGGAAATGCTGGTATCCGAGCTGACAAACTTTACCACATGCATCTATCTATTTCTTTCCCTGACTGGGACGCAAGGCAGTGAGGGCTTCTTCCCATGCCCTTGGCCCTTTGAGATGGTGGCTGTGGTGGTCTTGGAAGTATGATTGCTTATGATGATAGGGCAGAAGTCTTGGTGTGGCGCTTTGTGACAATGCACTGGTCTGCAAGGTTGGCTGTTCAAATTCACCAACCACTCCTTGGAAACCCTATACAAGGTAGCAATGAGTTTGAACCAACCTGATAGCACTTAACAACAACAACAAACATGAGAACAGGGCATCTGAAAGTAGGCTGACTTATTGGGTAGTGAAAAAAGTACCTAAGACATTTTGACTCAGGTAAAAGCCAGGTTAAGCTCACCTCACCAAAAGGTTATGAAAATGGGGACTTGTTAGGTGTTGTTGAGTTGGTCCCAACTCACAGTGCACAACAGAACGAAACACAGCCTGGTCCTGAGTCACCTTCAAACAATCGCTGCTGTTTGAATCCATTGTGGGAGTCACTGAGCCAATCCATCTCACGAAGGATCTTCATCTTTTTTCCTGACCCTCTATCAATCATCCAGGGATTGGTCCTTCCTGCTACCACGTCCAAAGTACAAGAGCTGAATTCTTGCTAACCTCACTTCCAAGACAGATTTGTTCATTCTCTGGTAATCGATGGTATATTTAATATTCTTTGACAACATCATGATTAAAATTCATACTTCTTTTCCAGTCTTCCTTATTCTCCATCCAGCCTTTACATGCATATGAAGTGATCGAAAATACCAAGGCTTGAGTCAGGTGCACCTTAGATCTCAATGTGACATCTTTGCTTTTTAACACTTTAAAGAGGTCTTTAGCAGCAGATTTGCACAATGCAATATGTCATTTGATTTTGCGATGACTGCTCCATAGCCATTGGTCAAGTAGAATGAAATCCTTGACAACTTCCATTTTTTTCTCCATTTATGATAATGTTGCTTATTGGTCCAGTTGTGAAGATTTTTGTTGCTATTGTGTTGAGGTGTAATCCATGCTGAAAACTGTAGTCTTTGATCATCACTAATAAGTGCTTTAAGTCTTCTTTACTTTCAGCATGTGTCATTTTTATATCATAAGTTGTTAATGAGCCTTCCTCTAATTCTGATGCCACATTCTTCTTCATATAGATTGGCTTCTTGATTATATACTCAGCATACAGATTTAATAAATATGGTGAAAGAATATAACCCTGGTGTACACCTTTTCTAATTTTAAACCAGGCAGTGTCTCCCTTCTTCTCAATGTTATCCCTAATTTGTTGTTATCCAGATAGTACAATGTCTTTGCATACTCAGTGAATCACAGGTAAACAGCTTTCTGGCATTCTCTGCTTTCAGCCAAGAAATATCTAGTATCAGCAGTAATATTTCTTATTCCATGTCCTCTTATAAATGTGGCTTGAATTTTGAGCAGTTCCCTTTGCATGAACTGCTGCAACTGTTTTCAGATTATCTTTCACAAAACTTTACTTGTATGTGATATGAATGATAGTGTTCAATAGATTCCACATTCTGTTGCATCACCTTCCTTTGTAATGGGCACAAATATGAATCTCTTCTAGTTGGTTGACCAGAAAGCTGTCTTCAAAATGTTTTTTTGTTGTTTTTTTTTCAATATTCATAATGAAAATATTATTGGCTCGCTTTTTAACATATTACTCCTGGCTGCTTTAAAAAAAAATTTTTTTTTAACTTCGACTATACAGACAATATAGAAGCAACCAAGACTGTAGAACCTACAAATGCTAAACATTTGCAATCTAGCCTTTATATACTTTTTAAACTTTTTATTGTGAATCAGATGAAGGGTTTACAGAGGAGATTAGTTTTCTATTCAATAATTCATACACATTTCCATGAGGTTATCATTTGTCCTTTGTAATTATCAAGTATGCAAATACCCTATTCCTCACCAAATTTTCCTTTTTTTAAAATCAAGAAAACCTTTTCTAAATTTTTACAACATTGATCTCATACAACTTTTGTCCTTATGTGGTTGACTAATTTCCCTAGCATGATATCTTCCAGGTTCATCCATGTTGTGAGATGTTTTGCAGATTCATCTTTATTCTTCAACATACACTGTGTGTATGTACCATCATTTGATTAATTATTCTGTTGATAGGTATTTAGGCTGTCTCCACTTTTTTTGTGTCTCTTGAAGACAACATGTTGAAGAATCCTATTTTCTTATCCATTTTGCTCTCTCTGTCTCTTGACTGGTGCATTTAACCCATTTACATTCAGTGTAATTATTGATAGGTATGAATCAATTTTTGCCATTTTGTTGTATGCTTTTGCCCTGTGGGTGGCAAGAGGGTATGGTAGTGCCTGGGCTGTGTACGGGCACAGTTGTTGTCTCCTATCCTCTGAAGTTCAGGTTCTAGGATTTTCATTTGTGTCTGTTTCATTAGTTCTCTCCTATCTTTGTTGTAGAGGATATGAGTAGTCATCTGCCTAGTCAGCCGTCTTGCCAAAAATCCTTGTCTTCCAAATTTCTTGGCATAGGTGAAGGAACAACAGGGTTGCATCCATTAGTTGAAACATCTCATTGGTATTTATTCAATTTCCTGGAGTCTTACTTATCACTAATGCCTTCCGTGCAGCTTGGATTTTTTCCTTCAATACCATCCATGCTTGATCTTGTACCCTCTCCTGAAATGGTTGAACATCAGCCAGTTCTGTGACTCTGTATTCGTTCCATCTTCTTTTGATGTTTTCTGTCCCATTGCTATTAATGTTAGGTGCCGTCATGTTGGTTCTGACTCCTAGTAACCCTATGCACAATAGAACAAAACACTGTCTGGTCCTGCACCATCCTCATAATTTTGTTATATTTGAGCCCATTGCTGCAGCCAATGTACCAATCCATCTCACTGCAGGTCTTCCTCTTTTTCACTGGCCCTCTGCATTACCAAGCATGATGTCCTTCTCCAGGGACATGTCCTTCCTGATAACAGGTCCATAGAATTCTTTTGCCCATAGAAACCTTCAATATTGGAAACGGAAACTAAAACTTTTTCTTCAGTTCTTTCAGCTTGAGAAATGCTTAGGATGTTCTTTCCTTTTGGTTTTCTAACTCCTGATGTTTGCACATTTCATTATAGTAATTGTTTTCTTGAACACCCTTTGAAACCTTCCATTCAGCTCCTTTACTTCATAATTTCTTCCATTCACTTTAGCTACTCTGTATTCAAGAGCAAGTTTCAGAGTCTCTTCTGACATCCCTTTTAGTCATTTCTTCCTTTTAAAAATAACCTTTTGCTTTCTTCATGTATGATGTCCTTGGTGTCATCCCATGACTCATCTGGTCATTAGTGTTCAATGTGTCAAATTTATTCTTGAGATACTTTCTAAATTCAGGTGGAATATACTCAAGGTCATATTTTGGCTCTTGTGGACTTGTTTCAATTTTCTTCAGCTTCAACTTGAACTTGCATATAAGCCATTGATGATCTGTTTCATAGATGGCCCCTTGGTCTGACTAATGATATTGATTGAACTTCCTCATCATCTCTGCACAGTGTAGTCAGTTTGATTCTTGTGTGTTCCCTCCAGTGAAGTCCATGTTTATAGTTGCTGTTTATGTTACTGAAAACAGGTATTTCCAATGAATAAGTCATTGGTGTTGGTCTTATAAAATTCTCTTATACAATCTCCTTTGTCTTTTTTATCACCAAGTTCACCAATCACTGATCCCTCTTTGTTTTTGACATTCCAACCACCAGAAATTATCAGTGCATCTTATGCCTTTTTTTTTTTTATTTTTTTTTTATCAATTTCAATCTGCAGAAATTGGCAAAAAATATCCCATTTCTTCATCTTTGGCCTTATTGCTTGGTGTGTAAATTTGAATACTAGTCATGTTAAGAGACACAGGCTATTCCTAATCTGTGTCAGAACATCTGGACAAAGAGAGAAAAAAAGGCATTGGCCATATATTGTCTTCCTTTGTCTCACTAAAAAACAGTGTCTTGGTCTTAGGGTGGAATGGAGTAGAATGGTTTAATTTTGTTTTACAGTGACCAATACTATACCTTTTTATTTTAAGACTCTTCTGGAGAATTTCTTACTGAAAAGAAAAGGTCTTGGGTAGGAGAGAGAAAAAAACCCGCCATAAAAGATTGTCTACTGGTGCTTCTGGCACTATCCACCTGGCCAATTGGTTTTCACATAAACACCCTCACCTGGATGGGCTGCTCACCTTGTGAAAGTTGACCTACCTATTACAAGGAGCTGGCCAGGGCAGCTGCTCACAAATCCCTTCTTTGAATACTTGTATTAAGCAAGACTCTCTCCTCATTATCTTACCCCATCAGGTAAGGTCAGCATGCTAGAGAGATTTGGCTCTGTGGTTTCTGTTGCCGTGGAAACATCTGCATGTCAAGTGGAAATAGAGCTGGTCCCTGCCGTGGAAATCCCCACCTCCTGGTCTGCAAAAGCCCGGTGGCCCCGATGTCTGAAGCGTTGGCCTTCCCAGGAGACAGTGGAGTGCATTAAGGTATCAGTGGGCGGGCCCCAGCCACCAGGGCACAGCTGTTCACAGTTTAACCAATTGCAGCACTACTGACCACCAACTGGCTTCTGAAGGAAAGTTAAGTTTACCCACAGGATTTACGAGACCACTGGTCTAGTAAACTGTGTAATTTCCACACCAGCGGTATCAGCATCACCTGGAACTTAATAGAAATGCAGATTCTTACATACTGCTTTGAATCTACTGGAAGTGACCTATCAGTTTAAATTTTAGTGGGCCCCAGGTGATTCCGATGCTTGTACCAGCTTGAGAACCACTACACACGGGGACATGGAATATAGGCCTCTCTTGTTAATTTTCCTTATTAAAGGCAGTTTGTGTTGGCCCTGAGGAGTCTCCAGGTGACATAATTAATTGTTCAGTTGCTGACCTAAAAGTTGGATGTTTGAGTCCACTCAGAGATACCTTGGAAGAAAGACCTGCAAATCTACTTCCAAAATTCATTGAAAACTCTATGGAGCATAGTTCTACTTTGACACACATGGGATAACAATGAATTGGAATGAACCCCTCCAGTAACTGGTCTTTTATCTCGTTGGCCCCACGTAGTCTACACTGCCTGTCCTAGCATAGACCTCCCACATTAGTGGACTGCTCCAGAGATGGCGTCTTAAATCTATAAGCATCATCTATATCATTTACCCCCTCTTTTTGTCTTTTTTGTAGTCATTTGGGTTTAGCTTGTTGGCCCGTTCGAATTATCACTGGCAGCTGAACTTCTTCCGGGCCGAGCAAGCACTGTTGGAACTGCTGGATGAGGACGGGGGCTGTCGCAGGAAGTGCTTCCAGGTCATGCGGCAGATGAAGGAGGATGTCTGGTGTCCAGGGCAGAGGCCGGTTCTCACATCCCACCATCTGCAGGTAATGTCCAGGCCACAGGAACCCCATCCCCTGCTCCTCTGTAGGGCCTGGCCAAAGCCATACAGAGATGAGTGTGAGTAAGTGTGTGTTTTTTTTTAATACAGATGGGGAGAGTGAGTGTGTTTCTGTGTAAGTATGTATGAGAGAATGTGAGCGTGTATGAGGGCTGAGTTCAGGGTGGAGCTCTAGTGTCCATTAGTCAGCATCCTGCAAATGATTTCTTCTTATGGAAACATGCAAATCCAGGCTATGTGAGTGTGTTCAGGACACTCCTGAGTTAGGATAGCAAATACCCTCTGCTTTCCCCGCTTTCCTTTCCCTTCTTTTTTTCTCCTCCTCTCCTTCTTCCTCTCTGTCTGCCCCCTCATCCTCCCCGCTTTCTTCCCACTACACTATTTTACTCCATTCAGCAAATCAACTTGAGTGCTCTCCATGTGCCAGAAACACTGCCGAGGTTCAGAACATGGTGACACAACACACTCTGTGCCCTTGAGAAATCGAGTTTGTGAAGTTCTGTGAATTGCTGAAACTTCCAATGAGTTCAGGTTTTCCCTGGTGTTAGGACACATTCAGTTCCTACTCATGTACCCAGTGCAGTCACTCACGTACACACCAAACCCTCTGCAAGCCAGGGCATGCTGCTCTTACCACATGGACAGGCTGCAAACATGTTTCCAAGCTTAGGAACTTCTGGTTCCAAATCATTGGGCAGGGATTTTTCCATCACTCTGCCAGCGCCTGTCTGTTTGGGCTTAACCCAACACTACATTCATTAATACATTCACTCACTACCTCACTCATGCATCCAGCCAGTGTGTATTGAGACACATTTTTCCTAATGCTTTGTGCAGAGTTGTCATTGTTAGGTGCCATTGAGTTGGGTCCTTAGGAGAAAGACTTGCAATATGCTCCCCTAAAGATGACAGCCTTCGAAACCCTATGTACAATTCTCCTCTGTCCTATGGGATCACTGTGAGTCTGAATCAACTCGATGACACATAACAATATCTTTCCTAGTGCTTTGTGTATACAGTTACTGCTGTTAAGTGTCATTGAGTTGGTTCTGACTGATATCAACCCTGTTTAATTTCTGAGGAGCTGCTGGTGGGTTTAAACTGCTGACCTTGTGGTTCGAGCTCCAGTGCTGATGTCTACAGCACCACATCTGGACTCCTTTGCACATAATAGTTGCTCAATAAATGAGTTGGTTGAATCAGGAATAATTTCATGTGGGTTTTTTTTTTTTTTTTTTTCCTTCTTAAAAGCACTTGATTTTCTTGAATTTCCTGATAACTTGTTCTCCTTCATTTGCCTAATAATCTATCAACATCTCATTACTGGGGCCTTGGGAATTTCAACCTTTTCTACATGTCCCTCAAGTATATTCCTTTAGAAAAGATAAGCCGTTCTCTGAGACCTTGGACATCTTCCTTCTTACTTGACTTTCTACAGGTCACACCAGTAAGTGGCAGAGCTAAGAAGCAAATTCAAGTCTGTCGTCACATGTCAGAATCACATATCCTTCACTATTGACTTCATTGCCTCTTAACAGATCGGTAGCTGCATGATATGCAGTGAATCAATTCTGCTGAAAGGCAATTGTTTGCTGTTGTTGTTGCTAAGCGCGGTTGAGTCGGACCCAGGCCTGTTGAGTTTCACAACATGGACATTGGTCCTTAATGAGAACAACATTTGGGAATAATGGCAGAAGAATCCATGTGCAGTAAATTGAAGTGGAGAATGACAGGCAAACTGAAAAGTCTGGATTCACAGAGACCACAAGGTCTGTTTGAATTGCAAGGGTGCAGTTCAAGCTCACCAGCTGCTCCTCAGAAACAACTCAATGGCACTTAACCACAAGAGTTGAGTAGTGCATTAATAGTTTAGTGGTAGAATTCTTGCCTTTAATGTGCAAGACCCAGGTTCAATACTGGCCAATACAACTCATGCACAACTACCGTCCATCTGTCAATGAGGGCTTGAGCACTCCTGTGTCTCTGAGCAGATCACAGCAGAGCTTTCAGAGTGGGATGAATGACAGCAACAAGCGCTAGGGTGGAGGAGAAGGGTAATCAATCGTACCTAGTTCCTGCCAGACTAGCCCCAGCAGGAAGATTGTTGTTGTTAAATGCCTTGCAGTTGATTCCAACTCCTAGTGACCCAGTTCAAACCAACTCTACGGTCCAATGCAGGATTTCACAGCACCACACCAGAACTCCAGCAGGAAGATAGGAGGATGCAAAACTATAGGAAAATTGTCTAGTTTAGAAAGATGAGAGTTTCTGTTTTCCTGTCTGAGGGAAAGGAATTTGCCACAAGTGGGGTATTGCAGACTTAAACAGTGGTCATCGTTACAAGTGTCCATGGAGAATCGAGAGTAAATTAACAAAGAAGCAGAGTCGGTGAGGTGGGCAAGATTGAGTGTCACCTCGAGGTGTCTGACTGGCTATGTACTGTCGAGTCACTTCTGAATCATAGTGACTCTGTATCATGTTACTGAGGCTGTAAATCTTTACAGGAGCAGAAAGCCTCATCTTTTCTCCTGTGAAACACCTGGTGGATTTGAACTGCTCACCTTGTAGTTAGCAGTGCAACACATAAGCCACTAATTCATCAGTGCTCGTTCACCTCAGGTTGTTGTTGTTAAGTGCTGTTGAGTTGGTTCTGACTCTTAACACACCTGTATAGGGTTTCCAAGGAGTGGCTAGTGAGCTTGAACTGCCAACCTTGTGGTTCAAACCTACATTGTGGTCCAGTGTTTATCCTATAGGCCACACCAAGACACTTCAGATTAGGGATCATGAATTCATGCAAACCAATCTGCCCTGGGTAATTCCCTTCTCCCTAATGTAAGCTCAATAATGCTTCTGAAGAGATGCTCTGACACTGGTCTCTTCCGTCCACAGACTGTGCTCTTTTGGACTTGCGAGAAATATCCTCACTCCAAGGACTGGCAGGTTTTCAGCGAATCGTTCCTGCGCCTGGTACAGAAACTGCACAAGTGTGTGAGCCAGCACTTTCTGAAACACTATTTTGTGCACAAGAGCAACCTCCTCCGGTATGCCAGCTCGGTGGAACTGGAAGCTGTGGCCCAAAGACTGGCCTCTTTTCTGAAGAACCCCAAGATCAGCCTGCCCTGAGGGCAACCCCTGCACAGGAAGATCTTGGACATTTTACAAGGGCTCCACAGTCTTCTTGTGGATTGGTCCTCAGTCCAGTGCAGGATCCTGCCCAGGAGTGAGGCAACATTTGCTATAGTGTGCCATCGAGTGTTGAGTCATAGCGCCCTGGAGAGAATTTCTGAGGCTGTAGATAGAATTTGCTGAAGCAGAAAGTCTCATCTTTCTCTCATGGAGTGGTGGATGTATTCGGACTGTTGACCTTTCAGTTAGCAGTCCAATGCATAACCCACTACGCCGAGCAGGGCTCCTTAGAGAGGCAACTATGGCAGAGGAAGTCAAATTGAATCAGTAGCACTTACAAGGGGAAAATATGTCCCACAGTGACTGATTCAGGCCAACCTAAAGCCAGTCAGACATTTCAGTTCGCACTACCTCTGTTGGGGACAGCTCTCAGCAAGCTTCCCCAAGGCACAGATTCTGAACTGACTGCAGTTCTAAGTTTATTTTCTCTTGCTGGGGTCCTGAAGATCTGGCAGGGAGGATGACGAGGAAAATCTCTGGAAGACCAGGCTCTGCTGAGAGCAGTTCTTCAGATCACGGGCTCATTATTCTTTCATTTGTAAAATGGCACTGTGACTGTACTTCCCTGCATATGAAGTCAGGGCCTTGAACCTATGGGACTCTACTGCCCCCTCCCAGGGGAAGGACATGTCCTAGCTGGTGTTTGTATCCTGGAGTCCTTGGGTGGTGCGTATGGACAAGGAGCTGGGCTGTGAACTGAAAAGTGGAGATTTGAGTCCCCCAGGGGCATCTCAGAAGGAAGATCTAGCAATCTGTCTGAAGAAATCAGCCCTAGGAAAGCCTATGGAGCACTGGTCTACTCTGACAACACAAAGTCACCGTGAGTCAGAGTCAACTCTACAGCAACTGTTGTGCTGTTGACTTGTATCCTGGAGTAATACTGTCATAAATGATAACCCCTGATGAGTTTGCATGCCTGCTGTCGAAAGCACCACAAAGTAGACAGATTTAAAGAACAGAAATGGACTCTTTCATGGTTCTGGAGGTCCAAATTCAGGGCTATTTTCTCTCTCTCTCTCTCTCTCTGTTGACTCCAGAAGAAAGTCCTCCCAGTATCAACGTCTGGTCACTTCACACAGATCTTCACATGTGTCTTCTATGTCTGACTTTGTTTTGCCCCTTTCATAAGATACCACTCAGAAGAGGTTAGGATTCCAACCTACCTACTCCAGCATGACCATGTTTAACGTAACTGGTGACATTTATAAAATAAAAACAAACAAGCAAGCAAACAGCCCTGTGTCTCTAAACAAAGTCATATGCACAGGTGCAGGGGTCAGGGATTGAATATATCTTTGGGGGGACATTTGCTGCGCTCCATGCCCTCCTAAACAGTGGTCCATGGGTAGTTGGACTTTCCTGGTGTTCTCAAAGCAAGGAGAGAGTGATTTTGGTGGCTTACGCAAGTCACAGATGAAAGTAGTGCTCTGCCTGACAGGCGGACCTAACCCACTGCCCACCCTGGTTCCCCTGCCACAGACAAGGATGGAGCTTCCTTATAATTATTAAATGGACTCTGTGCTGGGATCTACACAGAACGACTTTCACGTCACTTACCTCTCTGGATCCATTCCTTTACTTTACTTTACTGGATACATTCCTTTAATGTATGTTCATTGTTATTGTTGTTAAGTGCTGTTGAGTCGATTCCAAATCATAGCCACCCTGTATAAGGTTTCCGAGGAGCATCTGGTGGTGGGCTTGAACCTCAGACCTTGTAGTTAGCAGTCCAGTGCTTATCCTACAGCACCACAGCAGGACTGTGAGTGCTTGTTAGACATTGAGACGACAGCAATACAGAATAAAGATAAGACCCTGAGGGGGATGGTCCCTAATGATGGGGACAGGAAAGGAATAAACAGATCAACACAGTTATTCCAGATTCCCAAATAATGCACCTCAAACTCTGCCACCTCTCCCACCTCTTATTGGAGGCTTGCATGTTACTATGATGCTGAACAGGTTTCAGTGGAGTGTCCAAACAAAGGCAGACTAGGAAGAGATACCTGGCAATGTACCTCTGAAAATCAGTCGGCGAATGACCTATGACTCACAATGGTCCAATCTGAAACTGGTCATGGGAATGATGCAGGGTCAGGCAGTGCTTTATTCAGTGGTGCATAGGATCCCCATGAATCAGGAGCTAAATCCATGTGCTCTGCAAGAAAGAAACAGAGCGTGGTACCTCCGGAAGTAAAACAGAAGGTACCATGTAAGCAGAGATTTGAAGGATCCTTCAAGGATGAAGATGCAAGCGGCTAAAGGGCTTGGTGTGAGTCATGCTTGTAAAGCTGATAAAGAATTGATGTTTTTCTTAAACCAGTGTTTGACATTCAGCACCTCCCAAACCATTTGCATTTAAATGATCATTGTGACCACTGCCTGAAGGAGGCCTGGGACTTATCCAAGAGTCAAGGGCACTAAAGTCCTTTGTGATGATTAAGGTTGTGTGTCATCTTAGATCTGATATCATGTAATCACCTCCATGAGGAACTCTGCTAGGAGCAGCCAATCCGTTCAGAGGGAATTTCCTGAGGGATGCAACCTGCTTCCAATATATATGAACGTTCTGGCAAAGTTCTCTTGGTGCTTTTTGCTGGATGAAGATCCCACATCTGGCTCATCATCATCCGAGCTCCAGTTCTTGGAACTTCAGCCAGTAGGTTGATATATTGCCTGCTGATATTAGCTTCTGTAGCCTGTCTTCTCCACAGCCAGCAGTCTACCGTATTACGTGACCATAGCAGGAGCTATGTGAATAAGAGAATCCAAAGACTTGGGACTTGACTACCTCTACAACTGTGGGAGTTATTTCCTTGATATATAGATACACACACACATACACACACACAGGTATTTATATACTTCACTGGGTTTGCTTCTCTAGAGAAACAAGCCTAAGACAACCCTGGAGCCCACCCACTTTGGATTTCACCGAGGCATCTCAAAGCCACACATCCTGTCAGCACAGATGACAAGAAATTCTTGGGGATTTTCAATGTCTTCTGTAGCATTTATTTATGCTTGTCAGCTCAAGGGGATTCTATATTACGTTTGTGCATGTTGTCCCATATATAAAACAAAGTCAAATTTCTAAACTATGAGTCACTGATTTGTTTAATAAAAAGTTGCATTTGGGAAGAAAAATAAGTATTTTTGTAAAAACACCACAACCAGATGATGGGGATCTCTGGACTCTCAAAAAGGAAATTGTGGTTTAAAAATGTTCGGGGGGAAAAATGTCTTTCCAAACATACAGTAAACATACAATTTTTGAAAACACTAAATGATGAACAAACCAGTGTTTCTTTTTTTAGGTCATCAAGACTTGCATTCTAATTCTGATATTCTTGACTTTTTGAAAACTCATTTTTATGAAGGTGGCAGATGAAATAAGTATGTTTAAAGGATGAAAACAACTGAAGAAAGTTTTAAAACAGCTCTGTAGTCCCAGAGTGACAAAAAAATCACCAAGTTGATTGTACCACTGATTCAAAACATGTATGTGTGGGTGAGGGGAGTAGAGTCCTGGTGTGGTGGTGTAAGAAAAACACCGGACTGCAAACCGCAAGGTCAGCGCTTCAAACCCACCAATGGCTCCTTGGAGCCATATACAAGGTCATTATGAGAGTAGGAAGTAGTGGTTATGAATCTGGCTGCTAACCACAAGGTCGGCAGTTCTAAACTACCAGCAGTTCCGTGGGAGAAAAATGAGACTTTCTGTTCCCGTAAAGATTTACAGCCTAGGAAACCCTGTACAGGGTTGCTATGAGTCGGAATCGACTCCACGGTATTTAACAACAACAACATGAGTAGGAAATGATTGGAAGGCACTAACAACAACAAACCATCGGATCCTAATAGGTTCTTTCTGCCTCTCCCCAGTAGATCTGTGTTTTTAAACAGGAGGTAGAGCTGTTTGCACTGGGGCATGGTGGTTGAGAGGTAGAGTTCTCATCTCTCATGCAGGGATTTAGGGCTCAATCCCTACTAATGTATAATGATGCAGACGGGATCAGGAAGAAAGGCCTATAAATCTATTTATGAGAATCAATCAATGCAAACCCTATGGATCCTAACTGTCTGATCTGCAACCAATCATAGGTATGGCACAGGACCCCGCAGCCATTTTGTTCCTTGTGCTTTGAGTCGCCTGATTGTCAGCAGCTGACAAAGCTGTTTGCAGATTCCTGAGTGTTCCCAGAAGCTGCCAGCAGAGGGCAGTGGGGGACAACATATGAAAAGAGCCAGTGCCTGCCTGACCAGACTAGAGCCCAGCAGGTGTCTCCTCCCTTCACCTAGCTTTTCCAAACAAGGAAACTGGGAGAGTAGATTACAGTTGATGTTAAATTGGTGACCTTTTCGGCCACTTTGACCCAAACTTGTCATTTTTCTGATTAAAGCTCAGATAGATTTGAAAGCAGAGCCTATAGGAACGTCTTATCCTCCGTTCTGTTACCTGGAACAGATTACAACTCTGGTATCTTAATTCTTTACTCTGACCATCCTTTTATTTTCCAGTAGTCCTCTTCCATCCACGTCCTCTCTTCTAGGCACAGGGCTTTGTTTCATAGTGAAACTGCAAGTTATTTAACCCTGCTAAATCTCCACTTCCTTATCCTGAAAAGGGGATTCTTTTTGCTATGAGTCGGAATCGACTCCACGGTATTTAACAACAACAACACGAGTAAGAAATGATTGGAAGGCACTAACAACAACAAACCATCGGATCCTAATAGGTTCTTTCTGCCTCTCCCCAGTAGATCTGTGTTTTTAAACAGGAGGTAGAGCTGTTTGCACTGGTCTGAGAGGAATGAATGAAATGATGGATTGAAAGCTCTTACTTTAGTACCTGACCTGGTACCGTGGCATGTCCACCCCCTGGACCCTCTCTCTTACCAGACCATACAGAATAAAGGTAATTCTTATCAATTTTA